ACCTTGGGCGCATTCTTCTGCAGTGTCGAAACAATGACGGGATCTTGGCAAAAGTTCTTCCACAATTATATTCGTGTCTTTGCCACATCTCTTTCTATCTTGCCCTGTCCTTTCACTCGAGAGTCCTACCCAATTTAATCTTCTGTATCTTGCTGTCATGCAGCGCCTGTAGAGGAATGTTCAACCGGTAGAAATAATGAAGAAAAGAAAGTGACCTTACGAGCCCATCAACCCAATCACCCCGCGATGGTTCAAGTTGACATTGTTTGTGTGATGGGTGTTACTGCCGAAAACGAGATGCCCGGGAATTGCAGCACCAATTAGTGCCAGACCGGGGTTGGGCAGGCCCCGGGCCAGCATCAACTTGTTACAGCAAGGTGCATAGCCTTTTTTATACATCTGCCCAATCTCATTCCTCGTCCACCACCACCGTGACTCTCCTTCCAAGGCACTTCATTCCAGATACTTCTCTTCGAGCACTAGGACTTTTTTGCGACTCTTTTTTGGGGGGTGGCTGTCAATTATGGGCATCGCGAATCTACCAGCCACTCCCACGCTTCGACCTCCTAAGAATAAGAAGAGAGGTCCAAGTATCACCACAGAATCAGCTCAATCACCTCCGGAAGAAACAGAGAACTGGAAATTCAATGCGAAATTTCTAACTGCACTCTCGCAGTGGACTCTTCAAAACCCAGAAGATAGTTTTGACCGTATACTGCAACGTGTCAGCAAGGCAATTGACGCGGGGAAAGACCACTTCAACTTGATACCGGATGCCCCGTTTCCTGCACGCAGCTTAATTCAGTCACTTGCCCAAATAATTCAATTGGGTGCTGTATGTTCTGACAATGGGACATCTTTGCATCAGCTACTGACCAGATCACAACTAGAAAATTTCGAGCGCAAAAGTAGAGGTTCGAAATTTTGTCATGGATATTCAAAGATGGGTCAATGGACTGCAATCGTCGTTTGACAAGGCGGGAAAACGGGGTTTTACAACAAGAACATGGAGTAATCTTGCGTATATGCGGTATGTCGTGCTTTTATCCATGGTGTTTGTGACAAACTTATGATTGACCTTCATAAGCTCCCTCATCGATGAAATCTGTGATTGGGCCGCTGCACGGTTGGTATGACCATGTTTTTTTTATACTCTACTGTTTTCCTATCAGTGACCCGATATACAGAAAGACAAGCGTTGGAAGATTTCGAATGCCAAAATCGAAGGGGAGATTCTCGAATTCTGAGCGCAACTGAATGAAGCACAAAAACTGTTTGGTGTATGTGCTTGTTATCAAGTGTCAAATTCCTTCTGTCTCATTTTATTGTCTGTCAGACCCAATCTTTCATCCTTATATCTGAAGGACTTGATGCCATACACTATGGTCAGAATCAAATAGTCCATGCTATTGAGAATCTGAAAAAAGCACAATATGAACAATTGGTCAGTGATCTATTTGCCTTTGTGCTTCCCACTATAAATTTGTTTGTGAATGCCAGAAAAGCATCCTGGAGGAGCAAGAAAGGCGAAGATTTCTGGAGGATGAGCTACGTGCCCATGCTGTCAAAAATATCACACACGACAGCCAAAACAAGCAACCGTGTTACCCCGGTACCCGGAGAGAAATACTTAACGAAATCCAAGCTTGGATTAACGACCACTCGAAAGACACATCACAAAACTTTCTATGGCTCACCGGCCCTCCTGGGTGTGGTAAATCGGCTATTGCAGCATCGATTGTACAGGAATGCGAACGTGGCAACATCCTCATTCAGTTCTTCGTTAACCGCAATGACCTTAACACCACCAATCCCAACTCATACTTCCAGACTCTCACATGGGAGCTCTTGAGATCATCTGAATCTCTTGAGCCAGGCCTATCTCTTGAGCACCATCTTCATGATGTGCTCAAGAGGCGGGAATTTTCGGTTAATACACCAGACTGTGCTGCTGAGTTATTCATCGAGGCAATTAGCAAAGCGACAAATGATGCTCCACAAGCTGCCGTTGTCATTATATTCGATGGCCTGGATGAAACTGCCCGGGAACATTTAGAAGACACTGCGACATTATTTTCGCAACTTTTTGCAAGGCTTCATGATCACCCCAATGCCAAGGTCCTAATTTCGAGCCGTTCAGAAGATGCAATCCTTAAGCCATTTAGGGATGCAATCCAGAATGGAAATATCAAAGAGATACAGATCAACACATCTGATTCAAATTCCTGTCGAGATGTCAAAATGGTCTTGGAGCGACGTCTCACAAAAATTGCTATGAGATATAATCTACCTTCTGCAGTGTGGCCTGGTGATCATCGCTTGGAAAAACTGGCAGGGCGAGCCTCTGGTCTTTTCATTTGGGCTGTGACTGCCTCTAATTATATTGACATGCGACTTCGTCATCGGGGCACAGAGATACTTCAGAGTGTACTTGACCAGTTTGATAACCAGGCCATGACAGGGATCAACACTTTATATCGTGAAATCCTTGAGTTCTCATATCCCAAAGTCATTACTGACCAGTGGTCCTTTGAAACATTTCGCCGTCTGCTGGGTGCTATAATAGTCCTTCGAGAGCCAATGACCATTGGTGATCTTGGTGATTTTTTGGATCTACGAGAGAGTCCAGAGGGCAACCGTGTTGATGTCAAGAATTTTGTTGAGCATCTCAGGACATTGCTCATGAATGGCTCTGAATAAGTCACTGAATTGACCATACCACGAATCCATAGCTCATTTTATGATTTCATAACCAGTGCTGGTGAACATATCCCTGCTTCTTTCCATGTCAACCTTGAAACCTCAAATGCTGAAATGGCACTCCTCTGCCTTCGACACATCACTGCTGCATATTCCAAAGTTAGGAAGACTCATTATGCATCAAAACACTCTGATTTGGAGAAGCTATCAATCTCAGTTCGATATGCACTCTGTTTTGGTTTATCACATATACCTTGCCAGCATGGCAGAACTCTAGGGGTCATTTCAGATCATCCTTGGGCCAGAGATTCATCTCAACTGGATATGTTCCTTGGCAGCATATCTCATTCAAACCATGCTGGTCTGCTTGCTTTTTCTGTTCAGCCAGATCATACTTTTGTCAGGACCTCCTTTGATAGCCATTCCCTTATATGGAATTATAAGGATGGTTCTGCCACAACACCAATATCATTACTTGCATGTGATGAAGAGATAGATTTCTCACATGATGGAACTCGACTCTTCCTATATAACAGGCAGGACAAATTCAAATGCATACAACAGGAGTCATATGATCTCAGCAACATTTTATCCACTGTTCAGGTTCCAGTTCAGGAGGACTTCTTGCACTGGAATTTCTCATTTGATGGGTCCAGAATTCTTTGTGCAAGCAATGATAGAAAAATAACTCTTTTCAGTCCTGACTCCAATGCTCCACTGAGTGAGCTTCCCAGGCGCCATCAAGGGCGGATCACAGTTAGTGACATATCCCAAAAGTACTCTTACATTGCATCTGGGTCAGCAGAGGATTACACCATGAACATCTGGGACATGAGGACTTGTCAATATGTCAACAGCCCTAATTCCATGCTTCACAAATCCTCTGTGGTTTGCCTGGCTTTTTCCCCTGATGAGACAGTGATCATTTCATGTGATGAACAACATGCATATCTTTGGGAGGTCTCTACATGTTTTCAAAAATATTCATTGATCTTTCAACCTGGAGGCGAATATTCAATTGCATTCTCCCATGACTCAAACACTGTCATTGCAGGTTCCAAGAAAGGAACTATCCATTTGTGGAACCTATCTACAGGCAAACTACTTACAGATCCATGGGTGGTTCCAGGTGACCACAGTGACTGCCATGTGGACAGAGTAGCTTTTACATCATGTGGAACTCTTGCATTAGGATGCTGTGGTGGTGCAGTGTATATCTGGAATGTGGAATCAAGAGCTCTGCTAAGAGTCATTTCTAATGCTCAAAGAGCAGTATTCACATCAGATAGAGCACAGCTTCTGCATTCTAGCTACAGTATAGAATCCCATAGTTCTAATTTCAACATTCACAACCTTGGCCCCTTGTTACTTAACACAGCCAATGCCTTCAAACCAAGGTGGACACAATTCTCTCATGGAGGGAATATTGTTGTATCTGCAAGTGATGATCAAGTTCTCTGTTGGAGATTGAATGCAAGCAAGATTGTTGGAAAGCCACTTGAAATTATTGGCAGCACTTCTATCAATTTCATAGCATTCTCTGCTGATGAATCACAGATAGTTGGTGCTGCTGAAAATGGAATGACCTATCTTTGGGATAGCACAACTCTAAAACTCCTTTCCTTCTTACCAGATGCTGTTTGTGGAGTATCTTCACTTTATTTTACCTCTGATGGTGGTAGCATTGTGGCCACCTGTGCAGATGATCAGTTGGTCATTTTGATGGTTATTGACAATGAGCTAATAAATGCTCATGTGGAAGTTGAACATGTAATGCAGGACATCAGAGCACCAAAACCAACCTTTTTTGATGTTCAAATGTCCCCAGTTTACTTCCAAGATGATGCTTCAAACAGATGCCTACAGGCTGTAGTTTGGTACCCAAGTAAATCTGATTCTGTATTCTGGGCATATATAGATAAGCATGTTATTCGGGCTGGGACAGATGGTAGCTTTGTAGTTGTTCCTGCTGGTGATATGGCTTATCAGTAGTGTCTTTACATTCCATTCTTTTCCTGCTTTTTTATCAAAGGTTGCAAACAAGATACTTGGTTGTTCGCATCACTTTTATAGATTTCTCACAATAATATGTATTGACTTCTCACATTGAGTATGGGCCATTTTCAAACATGACAGACCCAAGATCTAACAGGCTGGCAAGAAATGTTCTATTATTCTCATGCATGAGATCCCTAAGCAAAGCCTTATTAAGGAATTCTTCTGAATTTTTGGTGATTTTATTTCACAGAACTACAAAAATCAATGGTATCAAATTTTTTTTCCACAAGAACTGAAAAATATGCCCATGCCGAGGATTGAACTCGGGACCCTTGCATATCAATGTAAGTAGTCAGATAACCTCATAAGTACAATGCTCTACCACTGAGCTACACGGGCTACAGTGCTGCATTGACCAATGTAGTAGCTTGCATGCACTCAAAAGTTGTCTTCGCACGTTAACATTTCCCCTCATGTACATACATCAATCAACAACCGCCGAGCTACAGGGACACCCATAATATCATCGCTCTCCCTCCTTTCAGATCCTGCTGCTTCCCAAAATGCCTCATAAGCATCTCCGATGCGCTCACGTACATGTTCAAGCAGTACACGTGCAGTCACTGTCCTAGAATCTTCGAGATATAGGCGCAACCGGGCAGCATGTGCACGAAGCTCCGTTGTACAGGCATGCTCAAATGCGACAACGATGTCACGACTCGAGGGCTTGACACTTTGCTTTAATGGACTTGAAGGTCCGGATTCTATTGTATTGTTAGACTGAGGGTTCGGAGCTATGGCCCAATCATGTAGCGGTTGAGTGATGGAATCTGTGCAGAGGGTAATGATGTTCTCGCATGCTCGGCGGAGTTCGTGATCTATGCCCTATAAAATCGTCACGTAGCCACCATGGTTATTGGATGTGGATAAAAGAGAAACAGCGGGAGCGTACATGTTTGGCTTCTTGGATACTCTCGTCTATGCGGGGCATGCCAAGGGAAGCAAAAAGGGCATCCGGAAGAAGTGAGGTCGTTTTACTCAACATAGTAGCTAGAGCATCTGTACGATAGGATTAAAATATGGTTCACATAGGAGAAGAACCAACCCACCTGTCATTCCTGCAGAATGCTTCTCGCCGAGTCCACTGCTTTCTGCTTCGCGCTGTGCCACATCTAGACTTTGTGCCACCTCCTTCAAGAGCAACAGGTGCCTTGCGAGGAACAAGTGAGAATCTAAAGGAGCTTTGACACGAATCATATCCGCAGCCGCAACCAGAGACTGGAGACACAGACGAATCGCCTCTTGTGCTATGTCTTCGAAAATGGCCGGCTGAAAAACACAACTCAAGATGAGAAAATGCCAAGAAATGTCGAGACATGGCAGTACCTTGACAAAGTCGTGTAATTGTGAAAGCACCCAAATAGTTTTGCGAAGTGTAGGGTACCAGGTGTCCTGCTTTTCGATGGATGGCAGACGAAACAGTTCACTGATGCTAGCTTTTTCTTGTATTTCTGTGCCGGTTACAGATTTCTCTGCGTCTGGGAGGCAAGATCGGCTGGTTACCACCAAACAAAAAGGCTCGAGGGGCTCACCAATGAGTATGTCAGGATAGGCAAGATCTTCCGGTCGGGGGACATAATATCTAATATCAGACTGAATGACTGATTGCGCCTTGAAAAAGAGCCTTGTCTGTGCGTCCTGTAATACCATTTGCAATAGGTGGCTGATATGGAGCTTCTGAAGACCGTGGACCTTGCGAGCGGCTTTAGCATCCAGATCAGTCGAAAGTTCTTCACCGTCGTTTGGTTCCGCTTCATCGTCTTCGCCGTAGACAGATGATACATCTAACACCATAAGTGCTTGTAGGACCGTGCAGACCTCACAAAGAACCGTCAACCGAGGCTCATGCAAAATTCGAGGTCGAAGATCGTCGTAAAGATAATCACACAGGTTCTCCAAGTATGAGCTGCCGAAAAACTGTCAACGCATTCAGACTTTTGATAGACAGGACCACACACTATAATTGCTCTGCGCCCGAAGTGAAGAAATTACGATAGAGCTCGAACTCGTCGGTACATAGCTGCTTGAGATAACTGCACCCCGCGCGTGTCTGAAGACAAATGAGTTCGAACCCAGGGACAGACAAAAAAGATTCTCAACAGACCAACTCGACCAGTTCTGTACGCGAAGGGTCGAGCCCTTTGATTTCTTCTGTTATTCTATCGACAAGGAGAGCCTTGCGTGTGGAAAAGTACGCTGTGTGGCATTCGTCCAAAAGTGCCAGCAGCTCTTGTGGATAAGAACGAGCACGACGTTCCAACTCGTTCAGTAAAGGGAGGAGCTGAGAAGACACTGTTTTAAAGCGTGTGTAGAGGAGATGCATTTGTGCAGTAGGCGATACATCCTGAAAGACATTGATTTGTTGTGGAAACGGGTGAGTGGAAAGAATAAACTCACTTTCTCATGCAGCCGCTTTGAGACGTCTACAGAGAGAGCGCGTAGAGATCCGACAAAGTACATTTTAATAAGCGTCATTGCTCTTGTCATGCATTGCTGGTATCGGAAGAGATATATTTCAGCTTCCCGGTAGTGCCGCTACGTTAAACGATCATTTCAGGGGAAAACATAAGGACTGAAAATGAGACTGACATGAGCTTTGAGATAATCTATACAGATGTCGACGCGCTCCACCATGTACAAGAAATCTGTTTGAAGGACAAGAGACTCTCCCAGGTGGTTCAGCATTCGCGTCGCGTGTTCAAGCTCCTGAAAGTAGTCCAGACGGGTGCCAATCTCCTCCGTAAGGTCGATGAGTTTGTCCTGCACGTCATGTCAATTGCTGTCAAGAAAAAAAGACTTGAAACTACCCACCCGTTCTTCCAACAGCTTCTGGCAAGCATCTTTCAGGCTCTTTCCGCCTTCTTCAACACCTCGCCATCCTTCCAGCATGCCATCGACTTCTTGGTCTACTAGATTGATCTTTTCCACAAGCAGATCGCAAGCATTTAAATGTTCAGAGACGTTGGCGACGTGCGCACGGAAATGGGCTTCCTGACTGTGAGCAACGGATCTGTCTATAAGAGCAAACCAGTCGTAGAGCTGCTGAGGCGTTTGGATGGGCTGTTTTGGATGCAAGGCATGAACAGTTGAGCGCGTGGAAACAGAACCGGACAGAGGAGTGTTTGGACGTGAAGAACCCGGCGGAGGCTTGTTTCTCTGCAGTGCTAGAGGTGTTGATGGACGAGATAGACCAGTGTCATCTAGAGTGAACTAGTGAGAATTAATTATCCAGTGTCGGCTTGACACGCATGCTAGCTCACTTTTGAAGGCAAAGGAATCTGTTCACTGGCTGACTTGACTCGTGCAATGCTCCTGACTTCTACATCCCCAAGTGGTGCCTTTGCCTCCCATTCTTCTACTGAGAGAGTAGGCTTTGCCTGTGGCGCAAGCTGGGTTGGGGCTGCAGCCCGACGAGGACGACCAGAAGCCATGATCAACGGTGGCAGTGCACCTCGGCACATGACCGAGAGCGCATCAGATAAGATCTTGATGTCGGTTCCGACTCCCGAGTGCTTGAGCCACGACATTCATACCGAAATCGGGCAACCAGAGCTCTGCAGTGGCGCCACACTGCCATGCTCGGTCTTGTCGGGCGAGCTTCATGCGCCACACGAGTTTTGACAGCATTCCAGACGCAATTCCCATCATGTTTGAATGTCCGTAGACTCCACCTCTTCGGATGCGCTGCCAGAGTACCTTCTCCAGTCTCTTACACAATCCGCTGCAGGCCAGCACTCCAGTCTCCATCTCATCGGGCTTTCCGACACCTCGCACCAAAGCCCGATACACCCACTTCTACCAAACCTCCACCACCGACTGCAGGAGGAGTCAAGTCGGATATCCCTACTTCAAAGGAGCAGAGAAAGATAGACTGGACAATCCTCAAACGGCTGTTGGTGAATGTCTGGCCGAAGAACGATTGGAAGACCCGAGGAACAGTCCTTCTTGGGTTCGGACTTCTCATTGGTGGCAAGGTTCGCTCGTGTAGTTTTGCAAACGGGTTGGAGCTTCTATTTCTATCAGGTCCTTAATGTTCAAGTTCCTCTGGTATTCAAAAGTGTGATCGATGCCCTTAACGTCGATATCACTGCCAGCTCGACTGTCTGGGTCGTGGCAGGAAGCTTGATTCTTGGATGTAAGCCCGACGTTGGTGAAATATTGAATCGAACTGACGCACAAAGTTAGACGGCGCGGCTCGTATTGGTGCCACTGTGTTTGGCGAAATGTTAAACGCGGTCTTTGCTGGCATTGGACAACGCGCTATACGCAAGGTTGCAAGAGAGACGTTTGAGCATCTTATGCACCTCGATCTTCGTTTCCATCTTTCGCGGCAAACCGGAGGCTTAACTCGTGCCATTGACCGTGGTACCAAGTAAGCCGCTACTGTGTCAGGTCTATGCCATCGATTGACCCACATCCAACAGAGGTATCACTTTTCTTCTATCAGCCATTATCTTCCGTATTGTTCCTACTGCTTTGGAAATCTCGATGGTGTGCGGAATACTCGTTAGTCACTTCTCGCGAACTTTGAATATATCAAGCCTTTCAATGACTTTCCTAGACTTACAAGTTTGGCTGGGACTTTGCTGCAATCACCCTTGTTACAATGGCAGCATACACCTGGTTCACCATTCGCACGACATCATGGCGGTATGTTACTCATTGTTATAACCTCTGACTCGTGTGTTAAATCTTTGTACCAGCACCCGTTTCCGTCGAGAAGCCAACAAAGCAGACAACAAGGCTGCCACTGTGTCCGTAGACTCCCTTATCAACTTTGAAGCCGTAAAGGTACAGTTTTCATTTCCTCTGTTGGAGGAAGTGACCTGAGCCGATTCCCGTAGCACTTCAACAACGAGAAATATGAAGTAGCGCAGTATGACAAGCACCTTGCAGAGTATGAAAAATCCTCAGTCAAGATCACCACGTCTTTGGCATACTTGAACTCTGGGCAAAATATCATATTTTCTTCAGCGTTAACAGCATGCATGTTTTTGGCAGCTCGAGGGGTTATTCAAGGTACGCGTACGCATGCGCCGGTAGATCTTTTATTCGACATCTTTCTAATGACGAAACATAGGAACGATGACTGTTGGTGATTTTGTGATGGTCAATCAACTAATCTTCCAGTTATCGCTACCGCTCAACTTTTTGGGCACAATCTACCGCGAAATGAGGCAAAACCTGCTCGACATGGAAGTCTTGTTCAAGCTCGTCGAAGAGAACCCTCCCCCTCGGGTTCGTCGTTCTACAGTTCTCATCACCTCACGCTAACCTGACTTCCTATCCAGGACAAACCTAATGCCCCACTTCTTCACATCAACGGCGGCTCTATCCGC